ATAATATATATATGAACATTAATCACGGACAACTTCGCACTCGGTACTATTTTTCAAGATTTTATACGTCTCATCATTTTTGTAGGTTACGTACCTACCTATATAGAGGTAGGTACTTATTTTGAAGTTGATTTTCATCCAATTTCAATTTTAAACCATTTAGGCCGTGCAAATAAGATCGATATTTGCAAATATTATACGGCGGGTTTCTTTCGAAAAAGATGAATCACCCTGTAACACTTTTGATAAGGGCCGTGTAAAAGCTTTATTGCGGCACTAAACTTCAGCAAATTGCATTTTCTCTCGATGTGAAATACCGTGAATACGAAATACTTGCTATAATATTTATAACAGCTCAGTGGTCCAGAGGTTAGCGTTGTGATCCACGAGAGCGGGGTCCGGAGTTCAATCCCCTCAAAGGACAACTTTTTTTTAATTTCTACGTTCTGGCTGGACAAAATTTGGATATCCAATGGAAATCCAATGTATTCCTGATGAGTATCCAATAAACTCATCATTGGAATGGACATAAGTTGGATTTTTGGTAGACATCCATTAGAGTTCTGATGTGTATACAATGGTATTTCAAATGTAATGGACATACAATGGATCTTCATTGGGAATCCATTGGATGTCTGATGAGTATCCAATAGACTTCCAATGGAAAGGACAAATATTGGATGTCCAATGGAAATCCATCAGATGTCTAATGGAAAGCCAATGGACTTCCAATGTATGTCCAAACTGTTGGACATGTATTATCCAATGGATGTCCATTGGACAAATACTGGACAATGCCGTCCATCCAATGGATGTCCAGGGTATCCATAGCTGGACATCCATTGGTTGTCCAATGGATTCACTTGTGTTGTCTGGGGAGTATTTGCTTGTATGGGTTCGTATCATCTTTCGCAAAGGATGGATCATTATAGAAGAGTAATTGATAGAGGCCTGGAGTGCCACGGAACCGAAAGCCATCAAGAAGTATATCTCCAGTTCTTCGATGGAAATTCATTTCTTTTCCGTTGAGAGACCATTTCGATTTTACTGGATCATATGTGGGACCATAAACCGTATCGATATTTTCATCATTTGTCCAGTATTCAGTCAGATATTTTTGAGCCATCGCAGGATACTGATCAACGTAATCATGTATTGCAGCCGGTGAGATATTTTCACTATCTACAAAAAGTTCATCATCAGCATCGTCATAACCATCCTCATCATCATCTTCAGTATGCCCAGCATTATTAGCCACATCCATCATAGGTATGAAATTAGTTTGATTCAAATCCGATTGCTCCCTCTCCACCTCTCCATCCTCTTCCTCCTTCTTCTCCTTCTTCTTCTCCTTCTTCAACCCCAACGACTTTGCTCTGCTTCGCTTGATGTTTGAAAGTGTTCCATCGAGTTTTTCTTCTATGACCTTGGACGCGGAGGCAATTTGTTTCAAAGGTGATGTCAGTGGTTGGAATATTTTCTGTAACGCATCATCATCCTCAGACTTGCCCAATTTTAGTGCTAAATATTTTCTTCTGATTGATTTCGATAGTTCGTTGATTTTTTTCTTGCGCAGCGCATCAGCAACATCATCATGCATCTTGGTTGACGTCATTTTGATGAATGGTCTAGAGATCACAGTCTTATGAACTTATCGAAACCATTTCTATATCTGCCAGCATTCATATCGAAAGTTTTTGCAATCACCATCGCACCATATTGGTTGGAATTCCAACACTCTGAGCACAATGCTTCAAATTGATCGAATGACATGTCTGGTGAGACATGCTCGTCGAACACATGCTTCAAATTCATTTCATCCTGTCGAAATAACACCAACAGGTTACTGTTGTCTCGCACCAGCTGCTTCGTTATCTTAGAAAAAGTCTGGCATAGGTATGCTACGTCAATATCCTTGTGTCTACACATTTAAAAATATTCTCGGATTTTTTGCTGCTTGTGGCATGATACATCATCAAAAATGAATATCGAATGATTTTTCGCTTCTGATGGACTGATGACATCATCATTTTCTTTAAAGGGAAAATACCCAACACCTTTCACTGAATCCAACACTTGTTGCAGCAATTGATATTTCGGTTGGTACAACGACTTTGAATACACGTAAACGTTCTTGAATTTCGCGCCATTTGGATTGAACAGCAGGAAAAGCATCGCATTGGTCTTTCCACATCCGCTTGGTCCGCAGAAGATTGCTCTGAACGAATGGGGAAGCAGTTTCTCATGTTTACTATTTACTGGTGGTTTGGTTGACAAAATTTCATCCAAATTCACAATGGGTAACATCCGTTCTTGTTGAATGATCTTCATCATGTGATATTTTTCATTTCATCAGGTATATGCAGAGTTGTCGAACTTCCTACACGTCAGTCTTCATGTTGCTCTACCACGGGGAGGGTGTGATTAATTCTCTGATCGATAAACTTCCCATCGAATTACACATTCCAGGCTACAGATTTTGTGGTCCAGGTACCAAACTCGATAAAAGACTTGCAAGAGGAGACACCGGTATCAATCCGTTGGACGACGCGTGTCAAGTACACGATATCGCCTATTCACAAAATTCCTCAATAGAAGACAGACACAAAGCTGATTGGATATTGGAAAATAGAGCGTGGGAGAGAGTCAAGTTGAAGAATGCTAAATTCAAAGAGAAGGCTGCTGCTTGGCTTGTCACCACCGGAATGAAGGTTAAACGAAAACTTGGCATGGGTCTTGTATCACAGCAATCCCTATCCAACATTATCAAATTCATAAAAAATGTACTATCAAAGTCAGATGGTGGTGGTGGTAGTACAACATCAGGAAGTGGTCTGAATAAATCTGCATTGGAAGCACTCCATGCAGCCAGAATGGCAATCAAGAGGGCTGGCGGTAAAAAAAGAATCAGAGTACCAAGAATCATACATCTTCCACACAGTGGAGGTATCCTACCATTGATACCAATCTTTGCCGCCTTGGGAGCCCTAGGATCTCTAGCTGGAGGAGCCGGAGCAGTCGCAAAGACAGTCATTGATGCAAAAAATGCAAAGAAGAAGCTCGAAGAAGATCAAAGGCATAATAGGGCAATGGAGGCTATCGGAAAACATGGTTCCGGCCTATTTCTACGCAAAACATCGAAAGGATTCGGGTTCTACTTGAAGAAACAATCAAAAAACTCAAAAATCTTCTAGACAAGCTACCCAATAAAACAATGTACGATAAAGATGTGATAAAGTATGCCAAACAGCTGAAAATACCGTATTTTCGAGGTGTTTTTATGCGGGACACTCTACCTTCCACCGGTCCATGACATCGCGAGTGTGCTGTATTGAATTTGGATACCTCCAATCATGCGGGCACTCATTGGGTGGCTTACATAAAAAATGATAAAAAAGCCTTATATTTCGATAGTTATGGTAATCTGAAACCGCCCAGAGAATTGGCGCAATATTTGGGTGCCAGCACGAAAATCTTTTACAATAACAATCAATACCAAAATTTCAATCAAAGTAATTGTGGACGTCTATGTTTAGAATTCCTTTTTAATGAGACCAAGTAATTCGGTCATTGTGCATCAGTCATGTCTCTGATTGTGACGTTGAAAGGTCGTACATCTACGCTCTCCATAGACTTTTTGACACCACTTCAACTCGATCCAGACTCTGATTACGGACTAGCATTATTGGGATTCCATTCATACAACAGTATACCAGATATCGACAAAGGATCAAAGTTTAATCTGCAAGATAAGACCAAGGCAGGAAAGATCATCGATATTCCCGAAGGTTCATACGACATTGTGGACATTGAGACCTTCATACGCAAAGAATTGGGCATCTCAAGTGCAAAGGACGTTGATGATATATTCTCGTTGAAGCCCAACAATAATACACTAAAGTGTGAGATTTCGAGCCAAAGGTTTGCCATCGATTTTCGCCCGAAGGATAGCATAGCTCAAGTCTTGGGATTTTCGAATAGATTGTTGAACGCACAACAAGTCCACACTTCCGATTTGCCGGTCAGCATAACCAAAGTGAGAACCATTCACATTGATAGCAACGTTACTGCTGGAGCTGTCTACAACGACAGACCATCACGTACGAGCTACGAGTTTGCAGTTGCAGTCGATCCTGGTTACGCCATAAACGAGACTCCCAGAAATCTAATCTATCTACCTATAGTCGGCAGGCGGGAATTGCCCAACATTACACTCCAGATTCTAGACCAAGATTTCAGGCAGGTGAATTTTAGAGGTGAAGTAATCATCATAATATTGGAATTGAAGAAACTCGCAAGATGGTACTAGTGTTTGATTACTCCTATAAATCAGATAATATACCATCATCAGCAACATCATCAGCACCAGTTCTCTCGACACCGTACACCAAAGCAGTCGTGTCTTCGAAGAGCAGCAGCAGCAACAGAAAAACATTGACATTATCCAGTGTCCTGTTTCTGAAATCACTCAAAGACTACAATGTTGTTAGCACCCGTGTTCGACGTTTTCCGCAAACCCAGACTCGACGAAAGCATCACTAAAGTGGAATGGCGTACCTATTATCCATATGTGAAATCATTCGAGAACAATGATGTCATCGATATAACGGCTAATCAAGCAGATTCGTGGTTGGCCATGTTTGAAGGTATCATTACCATCAAGGGTGAATTGAAGGTGACCGGTGGTGGTACTGGTACATTAACCCACAATGCTGGAGCTCATCTCTTTGATTCCTGCACCTATGAATTGTGTAATAAAGAATTGGACACTGTCAGATATCCTGGAATAACGAGTACTGTGCGAGGATACTTGTGTTATACGCCTGAAGACTCACGTCATTTAGCCATAGCAGGCTGGAACTATCCCAATGCTCCGATCCTCAACACCGATGGTACGTTTAGCATGAACATTCCACTGAAACATTTGTTTTCGATCATCAAGTGGCAACGTGGGGCAAGCAGTCAATCCGTTTAGTGAGAGCTCGCAATGATGCCAATAGTGTGAAGGTAGTCGAGAGAGCGAATACTGCTTTGCCAGGATCTCCTCAGACTCAGAGTATTGCTAAAATAACGATAGAAAGCATCAATTCGAAAGTGCCACATCTCACACCCAACGATGACATAAAGTTGCAGTTGTTGACACGTATCAAAGCAGATGAGTCTATGATGATACCGTTTCGCCGATGGGAATTGCACGAGCTACCAGCACTCACACAAGGATCTACCATAGAAATCTGGTCCGTAAAGACATGTTCTGCATTGGACATTCCAAGATATGTTATAGTATTTTTCCAAACGAAAAAAGCTGATAATTTGCATGAAGACGTCACCTTGTTCGATAATGCCAACATCAAATCCATACGATTGGCTCTGAATAGCGACTATTATCCGCAAGAAAGAATGCTATTGGACTTTTCTCGAGACCAATATGCCGACGCCCACTTCAACTATACAGAGTTCAACAAGAGCTACCATAACTGTCAAGAGAAGCGCTCTCTAGTAAACTTTGCCGAATTCAAATCCCGACCAATGTTTGTTATCGATTGCTCGAGGCGCTATCTGGGTCTAAAGTCGTCTACAGTTGATATAACGTTGGAAATTGAAGCGACTACAGGCTTCCCTCCCGACACCAAAGCCTATTGCATCATCATTCACGATCAAATCATGGAACATCTCCCACTCAGCGAAATTGTTCGAAATATTGCCTAGTAAGGTGTTGCTGCATCAGTCAGACGTCAGTTTGCTTCGAAGAGTCATGGAGATCGCACTGGTTGACATTCAAGGGTTCATGGTTGATGGTGAATTCATTCCAAAGGAAATGACCATTCGCATTGGCAAAAAGACGAGTCATTTTCTATTCAAGCCATCTGTAGAATTTTCGAGTTTAAGCAGAGATGATAAAAAGATGGCAAATCACCTGGAACGCTATGTGATGGAATACTACAAGACAACCTGCAGCAAACAAATATCATCTACGTTAGAGGACACCAAAAGATTCAGTTCTTGCAGCGAAAATGTGCAGAGTTGGAGATGACCAATCACATTGTGAATTTAAAAGATTTTGACAATTCTTGGTGGCAACCAATAACGTTTCAACAATCCATTCCACCTTGCATGAATCATTTCCGCGGAGGAAGGTTCCAGTGCAGTCTTCACAATGTCGATACTTTATATGATTGGCTATGTAATTTAATACCTAAATAAAAAACTATATATCGTAATTTCAGAGTTTTTATTCATCACATCCCTTATTTCTCAGTATAATGAAAATAACATGTGAGATTAAAATGAGTGAACATATTAGTGTACAACAAAGTGTCAAAATTGCAATGATATTGACAGAATCTTGATCATCATCTAATTTTGCGGTTGATTTCTTCAATGTAAATGTCTGCCAGTCCCCAGTTTCGCCGTCACTGCCATCAGAAAACGATAATTTCAATTTGTAGTCGATGGTGGTCCCATTGACTCGAGGCATGTCGATTGAATATACAGGTAGTTTGTTATCATTGACATGCATTCTTTTCATCATCTTCCAATCACATTGTTGTGTACGATTCATATCAGAACATATGATTGCATTCCTCGTATCATATGGTATGTTTGTGTAGAAGACGTTGTTGCTCAGAGCTGTCAATAGAATGAAGATTGCTTTCAGTATCGCCATCTAGCTGTGATGGTTGGATTCTTCTCGATGTAGGAAACGTTGCAACTCAACGTCTTGGTTCTGTGAACACCTTGTCCCAAATACTCAATTGCTCGAAATCTTTGAACAAACAAACTTTCTGCTCATACAATTGGATGTCTGCACTGAGCTTTCTAACTTTCAACCCAAATTCTTCTAGTGCACGTCTGTATTCGTCAGAAGACATGATACAACTGTTTTTTACATCCATACTTTCAACCCACATCTTATTACATCTCTTTCCCTCTCTCTCTCCCTTTCTCTCTCTTCTTTTTTCGTCTCTCTCTCTTTCTCGTACACATCGTCCAGACAAGGGTGTGGAAAAAGAATACACAGAGAAGTCTTATAATTGTTTCTATATTCTAAATTGTAAAAGTGTATAATAGTATAAATGTAAAAAGGAATAATAAAAATGAAAAAAAAAGTTTATACAATAAAATATGAATATTAGGAATAATTAGATAATACTAAAATAATTGGAAATATACATATATACAACATTTGGTAAATTATTGGATGAATAAAAGAAGTTAAATTTGTTTTCATGGGAAAATAAGTCATCAATACAACACAGCGTTGGTTTAAAAATTTTGGTGCAAAAATACTGAGGAGAAAATCAATCCGTCAAACTGTAGTGACCCCACGGAAGTGTGTCAAACGAATCGTGAATCAGTTTCCGCTTATCATCTTTGGGACTCAGACCAATTTTTGTTTGTTCGATGGAAAAAACATCGTGAGCGTAGGAACGAATCGTTTGCTGGGCTACGGTCTTTTCTTTCCAAGCCGTCAGACAATTCACATAGTCATCAAAAGTCAACTTATTTTTGACAACACATTTCTTGACACCCTTGGATTTTTTAGTTATACCGAAATTTTCCAATTCCCTATCTAGTCGTTCTTTACTGAATCCCTTTCTTTTCAATCGCTTCCTCTCTTTTTCAATATCCTCATCCGTTATATCCAATTTATAACTGTACATCTTGGATCGTAGTCCAGCAAAATGCGTAATAATCTTACCGTTTGCCTCATCCTTTAATAGGCCCAAGACTTTTTTATTTACTAGAGGTATACCATAAATATTGTCTGGAGCATAGTCAGACGTGTAAAATCTCTCGATATTTGCATCAATCACCTCACTATACACATCGTCACATACAATTTCGTAGATGAAGCTGTCCGTATCGGTATACATGAGTTTTACGTCAGCTCCAAGCATTGGTAACATGAAATTGTAGTGGAAATCATACATGACGATTTTTGACAAGTCAAGGATACACATGCCAATGTAGAGAGGTTTATTGAAAATCAGCTCTGCTTTTTTCAACTCTACTGCCACCAAATTGGCATCGAAAACTGTTCGTTGTTGAAACCGAGGACTTGAAATTAAATTTTTAGTGCCATAGCGGCCTTCATACGTTCTGACTAACTTTACTGTTCTATGATTACGAATATTCTCCATCGTCTTCCCAAACACCGCATTATTGGCCAATTTCCTTAAATCTTTTTTTAAATCGTTTGTGGCTAGAGTCCTCAATCGAGTATTCAACTCGATGTAGGGCTTTAGCCACGTGGATTGTTTGAACTTTAATACTTTATGAATCTTGGTCAATTTCAGACCGTGTTCTGGAGTGTGTGGAGTGTGTGGAGTGTGGTCATTAGTTTGGATAATTTTGAATTTGGTGGTGTGCGGTGTTCGGGACAAAATGGTAGGTCCTTGTGTAGGTCATGCAATCTCTCAGGATACTCCAAATCAACTTGGAGAATATAGCCTTCTGGACTGTTGTCAGGAATTTGGGTTACATCAATGTATCCAATTTCATACCCATGTAAAGCCCCCATAAGGGAGGGGTTCACTCATTGCTTTTCCATAAAGGTTATTTACATCGAGATAAAGAAGGTACTTTGACGGCTTTTTTGGATCGTAATTTTTCTGGTACTTATTGTTTGCTTCGCTATACCTATTGCAACAAACCGATACTCCTCCTCTTATCGCCTGCTCCACAAACAACACCATGTCGATGTCTTTGATGATTTGCAGCTTACACCCAGTATACTTGAGCATGCAATCCCAAGTATAGCCGGGCATTGTGTAATACCATGCAGGATCGAGGCCATAGGTCTTGAGGGATGACGCACGGAAATTTTCCATGACGTCGGCAAGAAGAAGAATATCGGTCCGCATATATAGGTCGCTATATTCTCCCAGCGATTTCAGCTCGAAAGATTCCCAAACTTTTTGCGCGTGCGCGTAATCGTCGTCCGAAATATTTGTATCGTTCAATTTGTTGTAGAAATTTTGAATGCTTGGCAACTTGGATTCATCCAATCTTTCCACACTATCGACATAATCATATGGGAATACTCCTTTTCGTGTCAACAATGCAAATTTCGGCTCATTCACGTCGCTGAATTCTTTCTTTAGAATTTTCAAATCATTAACTTTTAGCGTTGACACTAAAGCATCGAGACTGGTTCCCAAAAAGCGGAAAGAGTCGATGAATCGGAATTTTATGCTTGTTTCATCATCATGTTGTGTAAAGGAAATGTATTTTTCGCGATTAACCGGGAGTACGCTCACACGTCCCCGCTTGGAAATGTCTCTGATATGTCATGTATTACGCGACATCAGATATTTTTTGAGAATCTGACAACACCTTATCGACTTCAAAAATTATAATTTCCAACGTCTGACAACAATGTGACGGTTATCGCTGCACACGACTCTTATCAGCATAAGCTTCATTTGGTGTTGTGTGTGTATATTGTCGATGAAACCAACATGGAAATATTTCACCATAAATTCATTTCGATGTAATACTTGTGTCTTATCTCTAGAACGCATCTCTCGCTTTGCTCTACCTCTACAGATCCGTTGCGAAGATAAGCGCGCGCCAGCGATGGATATTATTTTCGACTCGAAGTTTCTTATCTCTGGAATGCATCTCTCGCTTCACTCTACCTCGATAGATCCGTTGCAAAGATAAGCGCGCGCCAGCGATGGATATTATTTTCAACTCGAAGTTTCTTATCTCTGGAATGCATCTCTCGGTTCGCTTTACCTCGATAGATCCGTTCCAAAGATAAGCGCGCGCCAGCGATGGATATTATTTTCGACTCGAAGTTTCTTATCTCTGGAATGCATCTCTCGCTTCACTCTACCTCGATAGATCCGTTGCAAAGATAAGCGCGCGCCAGCGATGGATATCCCGTTTGAATAGCATTAAAATAATTGAAATATCACGGAGGTCGGAATACCACAGTGCGTATATACGCTGCCTCATAATGCGAAGGTCCCTGGTTCAATTTCCCAGCGGTGACAGCTTTTTTAATTCATTTATTCACGATGGCGACGTGACGACGTATGAATAATTTGAATTTCGCGCTGGTTTTTAGTGGGCGTGGCCTCCAACCAAATGCTGGTCTCTGATTGGCTTGGGCTGGTACATACATAGCTGCTCTACTGTAAGTACATGGTTGGTATTAGCATAACCCATATAGCACATGTACGTCCAATGAATGTCCAACAGATGTACAACATGGACATAGTGGACGTCCATTGAACGTCCAGTCATGTACATTGGAACGTCCAGAAAACGTCCACAGCTCACTGGATTTAACATCTTATGGACGTACATTCAGAATGTCCAATGGACGTACATTCAGGATGTCTGATGGACGTACATTCAGGATGTCTAATGGACGTACATTCAGGATGTTCAATGGACGTACATTGAGGATGTTCAATGGACGTACATTCAGGATGTCTAATGGACATACACTCAGGATGTACAGTGGACGTACATTCAGGATGTTCAATGAACGTACATTCAGGATGTCCAATGGACGTAAATTGAAAGCAGTCAGTGGATGTCCATTAGAGACGTCCAATGGACGTACGGATATTCAATGGACATGAACTGAAAGCAGTCAATGAATATCCAAACAAAGAATCCATACTCATATAAAATATTATTTATTAAAAAAATATCTGTAAGGTACAGTGTAA